TAATTCAAAGTTAGTTTGTTAACCTATCCACTTAGCATATATTTACTAAGGAGGTACTCATAGCTCGGTGGCAGGCATAGCTGAGATATCACATGACCTTTGACTTCAACCTTGTTTGACAAGTGTTCTGGCTATTTACTGCTGAGTGACAAATCACCCTAAAACTTAGTAGTTTAACAAAATGATGGTATTTCTTTTTCTTATGAATCTGAGATTTGGGCAGAAATTGGCAAGAATAGCTCATCTCCATGTGACATTGCTGGAATAGCTCATAGGCTATGAACTAGAGTCATGGAAAGATTCTTGCTCTCACAATCTGGCAATTGATGCTGGCTGTGGCTGAACCCACCATGTGCCTGGAATTACTACATGCAGCCTTTCACATAACTGCTCAGCTCCTTCAAAGTATGGTGGCTGGGTACCCCAAAAGGCCAAGGCAGAGCCTGTGTATCACCATTTATGATACCCTCAAAAGTCTCATGATATCATTTCTACCACAGTCATTGACCCATCTAGACTTAAAGAAAGGAAACACAGATGGCACTGTTCTGAGCAGGCATGTCACGTTGTGAAAGATCATATGGGATGGGATACATATATTGATGCAGTCAACTTTGGAAAATGCAATCTTCAACAAGGAGCTAAAAGGTGCACCCATTAGCCACTGTCACAGGATGATGTGAATATAAGCCACAAAGGGAAAGTGAGAATGAGCCCAGGAGAATAGGATACCAAGATGCTCAGCATGTCTGGAATAGAGAAGAGAGCCAGAGGGATTGTCATGTCAATCACACTCTGAGGACACAGTACCCATGGCTCTGTGTATCATGAGCTGCTCCCTTCTGTTTTCCCAGTGAGGGCTAGATTAGAACTAGCTAAATGTTCTAGTCTGTTCTATTACTAATAACAGATAAATATCTGAGTGTTGATAACTTAACAGAATAGAGATTTATTCAGATAACGCTTTGGAAGTCCAGATATAGTGAAGGTTTTGCATAATTCCAAGGCATCCCACCATTAGGAAAAGAGCAGCAGAGTAATGGGGCCCATCCATGTCAGTATTTCTCATTCCTTCTCTGAGGGACCTACCAAGAGTGAGTGATCGAGGCTCTGTTTTAATGACATTAATTCTAATGTCTTCCCAAATGCCCCACCTTTCAATATCAGTCTGATTAAGTTTTCACTCTCTTAATCCTGTCACAACCAAATCTCAATTCATTAATCTTTAGAGGACATACAAACCATAACACCAAGTTAGTCATTTCATGGCTGATTCCTTTTCCTTTCTTTTTTTAAGTTATAAGACAAATGTCAAGTAAAGTGAAATTTAATTAAGGATTTTTAATGGCTAGAAATGTGGATAAGGAAATTGAAAGCCCTTATGCCGTTTTATTATAGAGAGGCAATCGAGGCTATGCATTTTCTTAATGTCTGGGATTATCGAAAGTAGAATATTTTTTATTAACCCTCTTGTTAATAAAGAGCCTATTTCTCTAAAGAAAAAAAAAATAGGAGCACAAGGACCTAGATGTCAGTCCTATTAGTCCTGACACTGAGGCAGTAGGCAAAGGGCAGAGATAAGGAATTGGAAAGCACATGGTCCTCAGCACCAGGAGGGCTTGGGCATATTCTAGTTTTACTGTGCACTAACTGTGCAATCTGAGTAAGTTGCTTAAACTCTCTGATCCACATTCAGCACATATTTATTGAAAACCTATGCAGCCATGCTATGTCCTACCTTTACATAGTGTGCCTTTAAAGGGAGAATTCTTTTTTTTTTATTTTAAAAAGGCAGACTATATCAATTATGATAAGTACTGTGGAGAAAAATAATTCAGAATAAAAGGAACAAAACATTATGGGAGTGGGTTGATATTATTCAGGGAAGACCTCTCTTATAAGGATATAAAGGAAGGGAAGGAGGGAGCCACCCAGATGTCTAAGGAAAGACCATTCCATGAAGAGGAAACTAGTTAAAGGCCAGAAGTTCCACTGTGCTTGTCATGTCTGAGGAACAATGAGAAGGAACCCAAGGAGGTCAGAGTGACTTGAGTGTACAGACTAGGAGGAAGAATGGGAGATGGAGTTGAAAGAAGAAAGGTGGCCAGACCACAGAAGGCTTCGTGGACCACGTTAAGGACAGTGGGATGATGGTGAGTCATAGGGAGGCATTGATGGCAGAGACTTGATATAATCAGACTGTGATGCTTTTGATGGATTGTCTGGTCACTGGGTGGAGAATAGAGGCAAAGGTGGAAGCAGGGGGATCAGTTAAGACACCGGGTCATCACAAAAGTCATGATGCATTTTTGCATAGAAAAAAATACATCATGACTTTCCTGACAACCCAATATTGTTGAGTCAGCTTTCATGTGGTGTTTAAGGTGACTCCATGGTTTGAGTCTCAGACCCTGGGACTTGGAAAAGAGGCCAGGCATGTGCATGCCCAAAATCTCAAGAGGAGAGAGAAACAAAGGAAAGGAGATTACAGTGTGACCATCCCCCATGGGGTGTTCTTCTCCCCCTCACCTCCCCAAGCACATGCACCCTCTGGCAAAATTTAAAAAAAGAGAGAGAGAGAGATTATTAAATAGTCCAAGTGAAATACAGTTGTGACTTGAGCAAGCAGGAAAGTAATGGAGGTAGTAAGAAGTGGTTTGATCCTGGTTATACGCTGAAAGTTAGAGCTAAGGGGATGTGCTGATGGTTAGAGCTAATAGCACCAGTATAAGAAGGTCATCATGATGGTGAAACAGAATAATGTGCTTAGTACCTTGCATGCTGCCATATTCTCAGAGAATGCAATTTTCCAGGCCACCTCCACTCCACACTCCTACCATTTTTTAAAAGCCAAAGACAACCCTTGAGAACTAACAGGCTATGTTGGGGTGAGAAGAGGGAAGAAAGAGAGAGAGTCCCCACTTCAGTGACCACAGGCATAGCTACATTCCCTGCTCCCAGGTTACCAAAGTCCTCCACATACTGTAGTGCCCTGGTTGAGCAGAAACTCAGCAACTACACAGGTCAGATGGAGGAATCACAAGTACTCCCTTCCTACCTCAGACTTTCATACATGCTCGTCCCACCTCTCAATTCTCCCTTTGACTTGGTTCTTCTGTGCACCTGCTACTACTTCTGCAAGATTCAGCTTTATTCTGAGTGATGAGTTTTCAGGCCCCATTCTCACCCTGCCCCTCTTCATTCTGTGTCAGAGATGGGCTCTGTAGCTTCCCCCAGCCCGCTGGAGCTACCATCACATCAACCTTCACCACACTAGACTGTACTTGCAACAGAATAGAAAATCCACCCACGGGGCCAGAAGTCAGCATAGTGGTTAAGGCACTGGACTTCCCCATGGCTGACCATGTTTCAAGTCCCAGACCCGGCAGCTTGAAACTCATGCCAAGTACATGTGCATGCATGTCCAAACTCCCAGGAGGAGAATGGAGAAAAAGGGATTGCAGTATGGCCATCCCCCTGGGGGGTGATTTCTCATTTTCTCTCTCAATGTCTCTCTCTATCTCTCCAGTGAGTGTACATGTCCTATGGCAAAATCCTCAGTAAAAAGAGATGAAAAAATTCACCCACACTTTTCTGTGTACAGAGAAGATGCTTCTTCATGCCATCTCTAGCTAGTATGTTCTTCCTCACAAGCTCTCTCCCAACTGGTAGGCAGAAAAAGAAAACTAAATTTAGTTTAACCTGTGATTCTTTGGTCTGATTCTAAATTTAAAGTGTTGAATTAAGTGTTTAACCCCTTTAGATTTCTGAACCTCTTCTCACAGACTCCAACCTATCCCCTTTGGGTTTATTGTCAGGTGGGTGGGCTATCGGGAGTAGAGTGTCCTTAAATTGACACAGTGACCTTGGAATCTCCTCTGGCTTAGGCTGTGGAGAGGCAGGGCTGGGCTATGCCTGGCTGGGGTCCCATGAGGGGAGGCTAGTTCCCCCTCAACATCCTGTCAGTACCTGCTATGAAATCTCTGACTGCGGTGACTTGTGGATGGACCTCTCTTAGCTTCTTCAAGACGTGGTGGTACTGTCTGGCTAAGAGTCCTCCCCTGGGCTCTCACTCCACTCAATGAACCCCTCAGAGACTCTGCCATGTCTAAATCTGCCCCTACTGTAAGGTCACCTCACTTCTTCCCACAAGGTCCCCAGCTGATGGCAGGCTTCTTTCTCAGAACATTCATTTACCATTTGTGAATTCTATGCCTGCCTCTGGAAAGCCAGCTCCATCCTATCCACTCGTCTGGCCATTTGCTTTCTCTAGCCCCATTTCCATCTGCTCTCTTTCCACCTCTGCCTGGATTAGAAAGAGCGGACTTGGGGCCAGCAGATGGCATAGCAGTCACTTGACTCCCACATGTCTGACTGTGCTTTGAGCCCCAGACCCAGTGTCTTGAAAATGATGGTGTGTGTGTGTGTGTGGGTGTGTGTGTGTGTGGGTGTGTGTGTGTGTGCCTAAGATCTCAAGAGGCAAATGGAGGAGAAGAGACTGTGGTGTGGTCATCCCACTGGGGAGATAATTTCTAATTTTTCTTCTCATTGTCTCTGTCTCTGTCTCTCTCGGCAACTACACACACCCTAAGGCAAAAACCTCTGAAAAAAAGAAAGAAAAAAGAGAAAGAAAGAGAACGAGTGAGCTTTTCTTCCTGTTTTCCTGATTTGCAGTGGCATCTCATACACAAAATTCAATGACTGAGTCTACTCCCATTACATTTTGCTATGTTATTTGGGAGCTAATTTATAACATTTTTCTATCTCAACAAAGAACCTTAATCTGTCATCTGGTACCATAATGCTATGTAACAAACAACTAAGAGAACTCAGGGCATTCTAAACAAGCATTTACTTGGTTCATGCATCTGGAGGTTAACTGGGCATCAACTGATTGAAGCCAAGATCCACTCGAGTGGCTCAGGGAGGTAACTGCTCCACGTGTTTCTTTTCTCTCCTTGTGACAAGTAGGCTAACTTAGTCATGTTATTCTCGAGGTAATGGCAGAATGCAGGAAGAAGCCCAAATACGAATCTTCATATTCTGCTGGCTTTGGGTCTGCTAAGATCTCGTTGTCCAAAGCAAGAACTCTGAGGTAAAGAAGCATCCATTCCTTCAAAGTGAGAACATTGCAAATTACATGGGTAAAGTACTGATAAGAGAGTAAAGAGTTAGGGTGTAAATACAGACATCCTGAATATTAGATAATTTTTTTTAAGACAGATTTTTGCTACAGGGTGTGTGCACTCGCCAGAGAGACAGAAAGCAAGGGCAATGGCCATGCCACAGTCCCTTCTCCTCCATTCTCATCTTGGGATTCTGGGCATGCATGCACACATGCCCAGCATGAGTTTTTTTAAGCTGCTGAGTCTCTAACTGTGGTCAACTACATAACTATTATGCCATCTGATGATCCCACATATTGAGTACTTTAGAATGACTCTTCTAAGACCCCCTATTCCAATATCCCCACCATGAGGCTGACAACTGCCTCGGGTCTAATTGAACTGTCATCTCTGTTACAGAATTATCTATCCACAGCTCTGTTCACTAAGCTGTGACTTCCTTAATATCAGGAACTGTGTTTCATTTATCTTTGTAAGCCCTGAATGCCTAGATATAGTATTGGTAATGGATTCTATAGGTGTCTCCCTGTCATAATGCTTATCCTCTACTGCATGCCAGTCATGTGTTCTGGGTGACACTGAGCATACATCTAGATTTAGGAATAGAAGCATTCCTCTAAAAGTACATATCAGAATGTCCCAAGAACAAAGCTAATCAGTGAATGATACTCCTCTGGACATAGGGTTCTATCAAAGTGAAGCTCTGAACTTCTGTTGGCTTGTTGTAGAGACTAGTGTGCAATCTCATGGATATAAATGAGAAACCACATAGCCTGGTCCATTGGCACCTGGCTCACTACTAGGAGGGAAGCTAGTTTAGCACAAATCAGACTTTAGAGAATCACAGATAAAAGAAGATAAAGAACTGGATCATGTCCTGCCTCTGAAAAAAATGTAAAGTTTTTTTCCATAGGGCACATGGGCTCACCAGGAAGAGACAGAGATAGTAAGAGGGAAAGTGAGAAATCATCCCTAGATGAGATTGTCATGTTTCAATCCCTTCCCCTCCACTCTCCTCTTGGGATTTTGAGTAGGCACACATACTCAGTGTGATTTTCAAGCCATCAGCTCCTGGGCCTCGAACCATGGTAGGCCATGTGGGAGTCTAGCGTCTTAACTACTACACCACCTACTAGCCCCATGACTCTGAAATTTTCAGCTAAATAATCCCTTACCTCCATACTCTTGTCGTTCATTCTGCCTCAGTTTTTTTCTTATCACTTACCCCTCAAATTATTATACATTTCTTCATTGAGATGAGCTTATTTATTTGTTCATTCATTCATTGTCTAGCCTCACACACTAGAATGCAAGCTGCTATTGGGTAAAGACTGCATTGTTAATGGCTTTCTCTTTAGCATCTAGACCAGTGCCTGAAATGTAAAATGCACTCGCTAAAATTTTATTGAAAAGATGAAAGAATTGTTTAGGTCTGTGTAAGTTTATTTGCCGTTTATTACCACTAAAAATTCTTGATAAACTGTTTTCTATATGCCTGCTGAATGACAGAAGAGTCCATGACAGCAGGAGACACGAAAGCTGTCTTCCGTCAAAGGTTATGCTGTGCAAAAAGCATTAGGTTGATTTAATTCATTCATTCATTCATTTTCTGTTTCCAGAAGTGGAAGTTATGTTAAGGCTCAATCCAAGAAAAAGCTTCCTAACAAGCTGTTCAAGATGGATTATGCTGACACAGTAGGTGATAACACCTGTCACTGTCAGGATAACAGGTAACCCAAGCTACCAATAAAAACTACAGAGTATTCTTGTAACAATAACAGGCTAGATGCCCGATCATTTTCAATACTGAGAATATATAATTCTGGCCTTCTCTCTTGGGCTTGCAGACTACACATGCATCTTAAAATCTTAACAGGAAGGGATGTCTCTTCTTTATATACCTGTCACTTGCAAAGCTTTTCTCATGTCTAGAGCTAGCATTGACACTTACAGTCCTGTGCCTTTGGAAAGGTCAGCTTGCCTTGGGGAGCCTCAGTTTACTTATCTGCAAAAGGAGGGAACTGGAATATGTTGAATATCTTAAGATTATACTTGAGAGTGCTCTTCTGTGACTTGATGCTGTACTAAAGGATTTACTTTAAGGAATATACTTGGTGTAATGTGATTGTCTTCATGACAGAAAATCTTACACTATAAGGAACACACTACTGTTACTTTCTTACAAATAAACAAACAAATAAAAAAGGTTAAGTTACTCATCCCAGGCCAAAAGACAAAGAAATTCTGGAGCTCGGGATCTGAACTGTTAATCAGGACTTCAACTAGATGAACTACAGCTTATAAATTATTCAAGATTGAGAAAGTTCCTTCATTCTATAATATCTCGGTGGGATCTTCCAGCTCTGAGTTTGTGGAGTTCCATACCTTCCCCTTCAAGCTATGTATTCAGGCTTCAAGACTATACAATCAACATAGGGCAGCAAGGAAAGTACCTCTTCCTATCGTGCTGGTCCTCCTGGGCTAAAAATTTCACATACCTATCATTAGATACCAAAATAATTCCCAAAGGTTTGTGTTTCTCAAACACTCCCTATCCTACCCCTGTCATTCAAGTTTCCTTATACAAAAGGAGACGGTACACACTGAGTCAGAATTTCCAACTAGAGGGAAGGACTAATGTGGGTGGGAGGGATGATATTATGAGCTTTCCTATTTTACAAATGGAAAAACTAAAGCACAGTCTGGTCGTGTAACTTTTGCCAGGTCATCCACAGCTTCTCCGCCCTCTTTTGCTTTGGCTCCCTTTCTCTCTCACAAACAATGTCCTGAAGAGGCAGAAATAACGTTCAATTTCACTCTATCCATATTTGTAGAGGAATTTCGCTTTTCCTAATTGGAATCATTGGGAGAATTACGAGAACTACTGCTTACCTACCTTCTCTCCAAATGTCCTTCCCTACCCCTGATGAATGGTCAGAGAAATACTTACCTACCTTCTCTCCAAATGTCCTTCTTCCCTACCCCTGATGAATGGTCAGAGAAATAATTGTGCAGAAATTCTGTCAAGTTTTTCTCTGTTTTGATCTTTGACTATGTATCAGTTAGCTATTGCCAACAGTAATGTGGCCTAACAAAACACTCAAAACTCATGCACTCAAAGGGATAATTTACTATCACGGGCATAGGGCTCATCTGGAGCACTTGACTTCAAACTATGACACTGGGGTTTGCCTGACTCATCTGGGTTCAGCCAGGTACCTTTGTGTCGAGCTGCAGGGGTCTCTTCCATGCGCCTCTCCTGAGCCAGCTAGGTGGAGCATGCCCTTCCTAATTCACTGGCATAGGTACAACAGAACAATTCCAAACATCCAGATGATTTACAGTCTCTATTCATGTTGGGTTTGCCAACATTTCATTGACCAAAGCATATCACATGACCAAACTCAGTCAAGAGATAGCAAAGTACACTCCACTGTAAAAGTATCAGGGGGTATTAGTTTGCTAGTTCTGTTCAAATGAAATACCACAATTGGCTGAAATGACAGAAATTAATTTTTTCCCATTTGGGGGGGATTGTACATCCAAGATCAAGATATTAGCAGGTTTGCTTTCTCTTAAGGCCTCTCCTCTTGAAATGCAAGTGGCCCCATTCTTGTATCCCTCAGTGGGCCTTTCTCTGTGCATGTGAATCCCTGGTGTGGCTTTCTCTTTTAGAAGGACATCAGTCATATTGGATTAGAGCCCCATCTTAATGACCTCTTTAACCTTAGGTGCCTCTTTAAAGGCCCTATCGCCAAGCAATTGCATTGTGGGCTGGGCTGCAACATATGATTTTGGGGGGAACACAATTGAGACAAGACAGGAATATCCAATTTTTCTGGAAAATTCTTAGTCTCAATTTAAGTTTTTCTATATCTTTAAGTCTGATTGACCACAGTTTCAAATTTTGACTCTACCTTTTAAAAAAATATTAATACATATATTTCACTTACATTTAATCATAGTATTTCTTTATAATATACATCTGTTTTTTCAAAGCATACATGCCCTGTATATTGAGCAAGTCAAAAATATTACCGTACACATCATTTTCAACAGATAACTTTGCACTCTTGAGTCTGTTAAATGGTTTCCCTGAGCCTTTTAACAGCTGTGCAACTTTAGAAAGAATGCCTTTATTTCCTTACTTGTAAAATTGGAATAATAATAGTAACTATTTAATACATCTATTAAAACAATTCAGAGAAACTGTGTAGCACAGAGTAATTGCTCAATAAATGTTGTTGGTATTGTGGCTCTTTGCAGTTAAGAATAGCGACTGTCCAGACTCTGTTGGAAACTGAAGTATTAGAGGATATAGAAGCATGGAAAATGGTTACAGATACTGGAGACAGTGTGGGAAGAGGTTGGGAAATGGGAGAGAGTGAGAGTAAAGAAATCAAGGAGAAAAATAGAGAGGAAAGGCATTTAGGTGACACAGAAATGGAGGATTGTCTGTTGATAACGTGTATGATATCTTCAACTGGACTGGTGTGAAGTGTATTCGTGTTGGGTAATTCATTTTACAAGCTGTGGTGATGAACAATGATTTGATGTATAAAATAAATTAGAATAACAATAAAAATAAAATTTTAAAATTAAAAAAAATAAGTTTTTGCTTTACTCATGAACACTGCATGGATGTCTATCAGGCACATGCCTTCCCTTTCAGGGCCTGGATTCTCTCCTCGAGCAAGTTCTATTCTCCCAAACTCATCTTCCTTCAATCTGTTTCTGCAATATGGTGAATCTTTAAAAAAATCCACTTAACATTTCTCTGCCAATAAATTAGAGGCCAGAATGAAAGACGGTGTACACTTGCCTTTCTAGACATTCTGCAGATGGCGTACTGCCTTGAAGCTATGTCATGGATGCTGAGGTCTCAGCTAAGTGCTTGGCTCTCATCTGCTCCATGAAAAGCTGGTGACCTCAGAAAAAGACAGTGCAAGCATTGGATAGGGCCCTTTGAGAGACTTTCTTGGAAGTTAGTTCTTTTGAGGGTTAAGGATATATAACCCAAAAGAACTTTCAGTCATTTCTCAGAATCAAGCTGGTTATTCACGGGCTAAGTGTTCAGCTGTCCTCTGAATGCCTTCTAAAGGAGTTGGTCACCTGTCTAGCCTCTTCAGGATCAATGCTTTCAAAAATTACACTTAATTATTGTGTCCATGGTCTTTAAATTCTTACATCTTACTCAAAATATTCATAACAAGCAGTGGGACCGGGGACCACATCAAGAGTGCCAACGTATACTTCTCTGTTCTATATGTAGCAACTTATTTAATGTTCATGATATCCCTGAACAGTAGTCAACTTTTCCACTTTTTAGCATAACAGGATGTTAAAATTGAGTAAGGCACTAAGATATAACAGGTGTGCATGCCAAAGTTAGATACCATACAAAATGCTGCATTTAAAAGGAAAAGTATTTGAGAACCACTTCCATGTTGCTTGGCTTCTATAGGCAAATTGCAGAGATGGGAAGAGGGAAGAATATGAAAAGGTGGGGCCAGCAGATGGTGTGGTGGTTGGGGAGCTGGACTCCCATATGGCTCACATGGTTCGAGTCCCACACCTGACAGCTTGCTTTCTCACTCTCCCTCTCTCTTTTATTCTCTCTCGCTCTGATGATTATAGCAAGTTTTAAAAAATAATAAAATAAATCATTCTTTTTTTAAAAGAACATGGAAAGAAAAGACAATTGCATGACAAGTGCATCTATAGAGAGTGACATTCAAAATTTGTTCTCTAAACTAGCAGCATCTGTGATTTAGGAGTGTATTAGAAAAGAAATGATCAGATCATCTTCTCCAGTATTTTTTTTTATTTTTGATTTCTGGTTTATGTATAATTGATTGTGGACCATAGTATGGTTTATAAGGCAGTTGTGCAGTATAAAAGAATCAAATCAAGTATGTAAACATATTCGTCTTCTTCAAAATTGAATATTATATTATCTTTCAACAAGACTGCAGGTAATTCCAATGTAGCCTAAAGTTTAAGAACCACTGCATTAGAAAAAATCTATGCTCTGAGTGCCCCCTACCACCCAGGAAGCTTCCTTGGACTCTCAAGAGTAAACATTTGAGATCATCCAAGGAACCAGGGCCAGTTCAATCAGTGGCTTCCCTCACTGACAATTAACTTTCAAGCTTGGCACACCCTGGTCATTTGGGGGATGTTGTTTCCTGGGTCGGAAGATGTAAGGAACATAAAAATAAAGAGTATATTATTAGTGAAAATATTTTCAAATTTATTAAAGACACCTGAGTGGGGGAAAAGTCAAGACCCTAACCTCTTCTCCTGTCATGTCTATGCCCTGATAGAGTTTCTACGCTGACCATTTCTAATCCCTGGAGGCGGGTGGGGGAGGGACAAACAGAAGATGAGCCAGGAGCTCCTGGGAACGTCCTTCAAAGCCCCAAAGATGACTAGAGAAAATGGAAAACTGACTGGTTCCCTCACTTACTCGAGGTTGAAGATCCAAGTTTGGTAATGAGGTAGGTCTTCACCCGGACCATTAGGATAATCTAACATACATCTCCTGGAGTTTGTGATACTCAGTGAATTGAAATGCGCATAACCCTTATCCTCTAAATTAGAGAGGGTAGGAAACATAATATAACAAGATGATGTAGGGTCATATAAAGTTCAGTTCATCGGGATAGGTGTATATTCACAGCTTTTGTCTGCAC